TATGTAGAGCGAGCAAAAGATGGCGCGCAGAAGCAAGGAGCAAACCAGAATCGCGCAGCAGTTTGACCCGTGATCTGTCCCGCCTTTTGTAATGAGTATTTAAGCTTGTAAATTTGTTGTAAGATTCAGAGTGTATGTTCAGCGTTATCATCGAGTGCGTCTTCCGTGTTATCGTCGTGTATCCCCCCAGTGTTCCGCATCGCCGTCCCGTGTCTTCAGTATTCAGGATCGTTGGTGTCTAGTGTGCCCCGTGTTTCGCGTCCAGCGGTCCATTGCAGCAGCGTCTCGCTGCATTCCAGTTATCGGGACCTTGTCCGCAGCGGCTGTCGCTGCAAGCGCCCGATTTAATTCCGTCGCCCCAACGAATCACTTGTAAGCTTGTATCAGTATTGATAAAGTTCGTTTGTTTACTCTAGTCTGTCCACTAAGCGCCACAGCACAGCAGCGTTCATCCAACTCCTCGTCCAAAGCTCGTCGTAACAATATCGTCGTAACGTCATTGCCCTCGTAGCAAATATGTTTATGAAGGTGCCCATGTATGAGTGCAAGTTAGCAGCATTATATGTTCAGGGTGGTTGTGCAATGGCCTAGGTAATAAAGGTAAATAACTGGCCACCGCACCGACTGCCGGTGCGAAGATGCCTTTTTTGCACAGCTACCCGCAAACTTTTGTCGCTAATGGCACAGGTTTTTCCGGCAAATGCTTCTAGCTAAACGAATTGAGACTGGTTACTAGAGCTGTCAGGAAACACCCTCTTAAAATTTAAGCTTTCTAGCTTTCCTGATTTCTGAGTCAGCAACTTACCCACCAAAAAATTTCACTGGCCCGTACGTGAGAAGTACACACAAATGGGAGCGGAGCTTAAAGTCACTATGTTCCACATGGATCGAAAACGTCTTCTTAAAATTTAAGCTTTCTAGCTTTTCTGGTCCCCAGCTTAGCAACTTACCCACCAAAAATTTTCATACGCCCGTACTTGAGAACCACACACATCTTAGAACGAGGTTTAGACTCATTAAAGTCTACGTGGATGGGAAGCAACCCATTAAAACTACTGCCTTCTAGCTTTTCTGGTTCCCGAGTTAACAGCAAATCCAGTGAAATTTCATGTGTTTGGCAATTTTTTGCCAAAAAACTTTGGTGGGCCTGAGAGCGTCTCTTTTAGAGATGGGAGCTCTGTAGCTTTTGTAGGTCTCGAAATGAAAATTGATAAAACGAACGCACAGGCACGCACAGAGACGACTTCTCGAAAATATGTCTTTTTGTATCGCATCGATGCAAAAAACGCACAATAAGAAAATGCAAAACTAACGACAACTTCGATGAGATCCTCGCTAATGATATGTTTGGCGGTTGAATTCGGATAGCGTTGCCAGAATATCGTGGAGACTTGCTCGAATGCATACGGCAAATGTTGAATGTAGTCACAGATGCGCATAACCTTAAAATAATTCAGTGTCTGCTGCCCATGCTCTCCCCATGTGCCTGCTACATTCGTTATCAGGTAAATTTGGTATGAAACCACAACAATGCACGGGAAGGCAAATTTAGAACAAATTGCCTTTTAATTATGCTGTTTTTAGAAACAGCTCAACCAAAATACAGTTTTCGGGCATTAAGACATAGTTCAATAAATAAATACACAGCACACAAACATTAGAATTAATTCAGTTGCTGTTGCTGCTGCGTTTTTTAGAAAAATTTTTTAGAAATACAATAAATGGGAAAAATTATGCAAGTGGCAAGGTGGAAGGGGACGGGAAGGAGGAGGCTGGCAAAAAAAGTATCAAGAGAATGAATGAGGAAGCCAAAATCATATCAGAGATATCCGGTCGTCAGATGCTCATCGTATATGCTAGTGGTTTATGTGAAACGGTTCTGTCTGTACTTCTTTTTTTTTTTAATTAACGTCACCCCCTCCCCTTCCCCTTCCTCATATCACTCTATGACGAGCGAAGGCACTCAGAAGTACTTCAACTGGTAGCATAGGGCAGCAATAATTATCTATTAAATAAAAATATGTGAAGCGGGAAGGTCCCAGTTGAGTGACGCATGTGCGCGTGTATGACACCCGCAAACGCATGACTTGCGTGGCGGATTTATAGGAGATTCACCATGTATCAATACTACGCCGCCAAAATAATACAAGTGAAGCCCGTATAACTGCGGATGGGGAAGACTTGATGCAGAACGCAGTCTCAGAACTGATCTTCGACAGAGTCCGAATACTGGTTCTCATCTGTTTCACAGACCTTCAGAAATATCTTCCATTAGTGACGGAGGATGGCTTCCCCATCTTTTTGTTTAGGAAGGAGGTACGGTAATAGCGCCAAGTTTATAGCTAATTTTTCTACCTTCTCGTTCTGAAAACAGAGTTTTAGATTCTCGGGGAAATATCTCTGAATAACATGGACGTAACACCAAAATATTCACAATAAATATATATATGTATGAAATAAATGAAGATGAAAGTTGAAATAAAGCTCACATATAAAGTATTACGAAATAAAGTTTACATATATAAATATATATATAAACTTTATTTTATAATATTCCTGTCCGATTTTTGCGAAGGGTGTTGGAACTATGAGACAAAGACTACAATTCTTTCACAAATGCTGAGATTGCCGAGGGATACCACTTCCACGAGTTGTTTATAAGTAAAGTTGATAGTGATTTCAACCCCTCGGCATTCATCAACAACAAAAAATGAACCATCGGAAACAGTGAACGAAACGTAGAAAGATTTGTCAATTGCAGAGCCTAGCCGCTCTCGGCCTTATACCATGGAAGCAATGCTAACTATCACTGCGCTATAGCAGTCAGCAAATAAATAAATAATTTAAATGAAATAGCAATATGCACAAAGATGTCAAAATAGTCAATATCAAAAAGAATGAGATCAAAGGAAGCCGACAGTTATACTGCCCAAATA